TCCCCTCTGCCCGCCCGGCAGCCGGGCCCCCGCGGGCTTCCGCTGGCGCTTGCTCCCTTGCTTGGGGCGGGCTCGCGCGCAGCTCGCGTTTCGCCTCCGGCCGCGGCGGTGGACAGGAGCCCGGCGTCTTGTCCCTCCGGCTCAGGTACACAGTGTGGCTACCGGGACTCGAGCGAGAGCGGTCCCTGCTGTCCTCGGGGGGCTTGCTGGCACCGAGCGACTCCGTTGCTGGGTGGAACAGCCAAGACCGGGCTGCCCGTAGCCGCCCGGGCCCCGAGATGGAGCCGCGAAGAAAAGCTGCTGTCTTGGGAAGTCCCTCTGCAGGGCCGGGCGAGGGGCTTGGCCGCGCTGGGCTTGCCGTGAAGTTCGTGATTTTATTCTTCATGGCTGTGTAGTGTTCCGTCGTGTAGATGTACCACTTTTTTCCCCAAGTCCAGTCCCCTTTTGAGGGGCAGCACGGTTGGTTCATGTTCTTGCCGTGGGACTGGTCAGAATGGCCATCAACAGCTCAAAAAAGAACAGACGCTGGAGAAGATACGCGAAAAGGGAACACTTGTACACTTTTGGTGGGAGTGTAAACGAGGATAGCCTCTGTGGAAATCAGTGTTGCAATCCCTACAAGCTCTAAAGATTTACCTCCCATATGACCCCCAATCCCCCTACTGGGAATATACCTGGAAGAACTAAAATCACTACATAAAAAAGATACCTGCACACATAGGTTTATTGCAACTTTGGTCTTTTTATGTTTATCTAGTTGCCACATAACTTTTTAGGTATTTATTATACAACTAATGCAACATCTTTAATGTTTATTTTAGTTATCTGCTCATTTTAACACTTTTGTCAGCTCTGGATAACTTTTAATTCATTGATATATGTCATTATTTGGGACATAAAAGATTTGCTTGTTTCTTGACATACAGAGTAATGTTTTTTATAGGAGAGCCTGCTTTGTGAAGCTTTTCTTTTTATACTAGATATTTTTATTTCTATAAATATATTTTAAATTGGAATATGATTGATTCG